TTTTTTAATTTAGTATTTAATTAGGGAAAATAGTCTTACATTTAGGTTTTGTTTCAACACATGCATGCTTATATTAGCCATGACTTATTTTACGGTGATTCCAAATTGTGCTTTCTTAACTACTTTCGATGGACCAAGGATTCGAGTCTCGACTCCTTCGCAGATAGATCTTAGAGTTACACTATCTGATTGTTTTTTGTTGAGGGAAATGGCGCTGGCTACAGCTCGCAAGTTGTTTGATCTTTTATTTAGCACACTGGAAAAACTACTTGTTTTTTTTTGTTGAGCAAGTTTTGCCCGCTTAAGAATCGGATAAGGCGGACTCTTGATTTGCTGCTGCGATAAATCCCTTTTAAATGGCTTAAATCCTCTGACAGACTTCTTCTTCGCCTCTTTCGGTTTTTCTTCGGGGTCCTTAGGCATGTCGAGCTCTATTAGTGGTGGCGGATTTTTCAGTGTTATAATGGCATCCTTATTTGCTCTTATTCTTCTGTACCCTTCCGGAGTTATGCTTTTGGTTTTTGTTTCTCGTATAGCCCACAAAGTTGCCGCCAGCTGCGCAATGACTGCAGTTGAATGCCTCACTTTTTCTTTAATTTGCTGCAAAGACTAAGTTGTTTCGAATGGCTGTTGAAAACCAGAACAAGAGAGAAAGATACTAACTTTAATCTGCATGCATACCTTTTGATCTTTTTCAAATATAGTAAACATAGATACGACCAAAAATGCCAGGAATATGAGAACAAAGGAAGACAGCAGCCATACGTCTAATGTGGTCACAGAGTCCAAATGGTTGTCGAAAATGAAACGGAATAATTTTGAGAAACCATTGCACATCTTTTGTGAAAATGGGTACACGCAGGTGAATTCAGTTAAAAAATTTAAAGCCGGATCTTTATCGTCCATCCTGCCTATCTCTCACTTGACGTTACAATTTGAAAAATTGCAAAAATAGTTACTTTTCCGATTTCCTAAAGTAAATGAAAATTTATTTTTGATTGAGCATTTATTTACAAGAGAATTAGAAAATTTTTATGCAGAAGTGTTTTTTCGTCATAACTTCACGTATATGTATATAGACTGCGCCTTAGTTGTATGGAGAAAAATTTTGTTAAGCTAAAAAGCCAACCAAAACCAAAAGNCAAGACTCCCCTAGAAATGTTCCTTTGGTCATAAAAACGTGCCCTGCGAAAATATTTTAAAATTGGAAAACGGAAAGACGTGCCTCAAAGGCCCTGAAGTTCAGCATTTCTACGCAATTTTTACAAAGATGTCCAAATTGCCTATAAGTCAGTGGGAAATTTAATACGTTTTAATGGCACTTGACGTAGTTTTATCCCCCGGTGTCAAATATGGCTACAATATTTTTAAATGTCCCCAACTTTAAAAGTTATTGAAGTTTGTCCCACGTAAAATTACAATTTTCTAGGATTTGAGAAGCTAAATTTTAGCCCAGAAAACTTAAATCAAATTGGTACGAAGAAAAAAAATTATAGTAGCGAATTTTGGACACAGTTTACTTCTAAATATTTGAGAAGTAGATCATGGATCCAAAGTAGAAATGGGCACGGGCCTAATTTTTCCCCCGCGTGGTGCAACCAGAGAACGCGCAAAAAATTAAAATTTTTTTATAAACGTAGGCATAGATTATTTAAAACAAA